TATTTGTGTGACAGTAACAAGACATAAAAGCTATTAGGCCTCCGGTGTCATTTGCAAAGATTCAAACAAGCACCATTTAAGTTTCACTCTTAAGGCTATCTAGCAGCTAGAGTTTACCATTGTGAGATACCTGGGCTGAAATTACATTTCGCGAGCACATTAAACTAAGAATTAACGAGACATATATCGGATTGAACGGCATGCAATGACTAGAATGAATGATCAGATTGGAAGGTTGAATTTTCTTTTTCATGGCATTTTGTCATGGTGATGTCAATAACAGTAGAGATGGAGGCTAAGAATAGGCCCTTTGAGGCCTTCTGTAAAGATAATAAGGCTGATCTCAGCACCTAATGGGAATATAAAAGATCACATTTTAGCAAATATTTCATCGATTCCTTTGAGACCAATCTACGAATGCCTTCCATTTAACTTTTCATAAAATGTTTTATAACAACAGTAGTAACATGAAACTCGTTGTATTAATACAGACTGATATTTATTTATCACCTAATATACAAATTCCCGAAAATGTTATTCCACAGAAGAGGTTATTTTATTGAAGACTAGTACATTTAGCCTGAAATGATAGTTAAATTACCCTGGTGATGGCCATGCCTCCTTCTATGCCTTGGCAGCACCAAAATACCGACATATATGGGAAAAAGGGGATCTATTAGGCGTTCAGCATTAACGTTATACCTCCAACTATAACATATTTGAGTAAAGTTTAAATAAGAAGTTGTCATAATGTCTAATATAAGAGGCAAGCTATGGTGAGTTAAGTAATTCGAGGTAGCAATGCGTAGCAACCATAGTTAGATTGTTATACCACGTGCGGGGAGTAAATTGATATTCCCCGAGTCTGTAGAGAGGATATGAGTTAAGGCCACTACTTCCATCACATTTAAGGGGGTAAAACCTTAGAAAACAAAAGCCTGAGGGAATTTATTTTCAGATTAAGGGGTTTTTTGACAATTTCGTGTAAATTTTGAAATGCGAACACCGTTATTCTATAAGGTTACGTTAGCCAATCATCCCCAGCCGGCCTTTCTTGAGGCCCCCTTTGACAATGCCAAGGAATCGAGATCGTCCCCCTCGCTCTGACGGTTTCGGAGCCAGGAAATCTGTTTCTGAGTGGCCATACTGTTCTCCACTTTCTTCCATGATTGTGTTGGCTGCCAAGCTGGCTGGAGAGCAGGTGTACATAAAGGCTAGAGTGTCTCCGCTGGAGGAAGCTCTGCTTGAAGGAATGAAGAAAAAGGTATTAATAACGGATTATAATTGAAGGAAATAAAGGGACTAAGGCTTTTATGCCATTCTCAATCCTGCATCATCGGACAGATGTTTCGGTGAGAAGCATTCGAGAGAACAAAACAAATAAGTAAAAGTGATGATGAGGAGTGACGAGTGTTATGCTTAATTCACCCGACGCTTTTGATATCTTTTGTGTAGCTGGCTTATTGATGTGAAGACTTTCATTTTGTATGAAAGTCCATGGTTTGGGTTAAGGTCTAATGATCCAAAGAGAAGGATGATTGGGATTACGTCTGGGATTGCGCGTTTGTTTTGGACGACGAACTTGGCATGCGAGTTAAATGAGTGTTGATTTTGCTAGAAGCATAACACAGCTGACAAGTTGAGTAGTCTTCTTTTGGACGGCGACGCAACACCCTCTTTCTCCTTTAAGCTTTCAATCAAGCATAAGCAATTCTTAGTCAACCTTCTACTATCATTCCTCACGTTCGATGTATTATCTAATCTATTCATTTCAATATCCTCTCTTATCTTGCGTTTGGTAGCAGTCTCAGTTGTTCTCCTTCTTTGTGTACCTTCGGCAAATTGTATGCTACTGGTGCTCTTGCATCCATTCGTATGAGTGAGTTCATTGTCCATTTGTTGATTTTACCGCTCCTAATCATTTCCTTCAGCATTTATTGCAGTGTTTCTTTGATTGTAACTGTTGGGTTTTTTGTCAGTAATCGGCACGTTGTAGTGTCTTCGAGAATATTTTCCATTTTCTCTGTATATTCCTTCATATAATCAACAAGCCTCCTTGTACGAGACCATTTTATCTCAGGCCCAGTCTCTGTTTTGTGTTCCATCACTTCTGACGGTGAGACCAAGCTGCCTTTAGAAGCATTTTTGCGCTCCGCTAATCTTTGACGAATCGGCCGACAGGTCTCGCCAACGTAAAGTTGACTACAAGAGCGCATAATCTTATACCAGCCGGATCTTGATAATTGATCATGTTACTCTTTAGAAGAAGGTATAACCGAAGAAATGAAAGGTTTCTTTGAAAATTGTCTTTAGCCCAAACTTCTTCACTAGATCTCCTATCAACTTGACTTAATGTTAACTTGAGGCCTTTACAGCTCTGAAGATCCTCGTCGTATTATGAACGAAGGCATAGCCAGTTTTCGCCTAAAATGTTGGAGAATGTCTGGTGGACTGCAGCAACCTGAGCGTCGTACTAATGCCAAACGGATGCAGTACACCGCGATCAGACAACCGCGGATGGTCAGATTGACCTACGAAATTTTTCATCATGTACTTCCATACAAACAATACATCTTCAGATCAATCTTATCTCAAGAGAATCTTCGAAACTCGCATTTTCTTCATATAATTGCCTTATAGCCTACTTTTAGTTGAGACGCCTGTATGTTCAAATACGCTAATCATTTCCTATTTTAGGGTTGAAAGTTTCGACTTACCCCATGACTTTTAGTAGTGCTATCTGATTGGTATTTTGAGTACTTGATAGATTTGAAACTAGTACGAAAATAGCTTAGTTGTTTCATCGATCGGACTAAAATAACTGAAAACGTACTCACTTGAGTTTCGAGTGTTCTCACCCGCTTCTTCTTTGCCATACCTTTTCCTCTGCTTAACGATAAGCCCTTGGTTCAGGCATCTCCTTTCGACTGTTCCGTCATAACTGAATCGTTATTATATAGTAGTGTTCATAAGGTATGCTTTTATACTCTGACGATGTGTGCAACATTAGTGAAGAAAGTATGAAGACCAAGATGGTGTGGTCTTTTTTGTGGTCGCAGACTCCTTCCGTTGTATAAAAGTTGTTCGACCTTGTTTTCGCAACATGGTCATATTGGTAGGTAGAATTATAGGAACGCACCTTGTCCTGAGTCCATTGTATGCTAACTTTCCCTTCGTTAAACGCGGGTGGTTGGAAAAATCTGAATTTAATCACAGCCTCAGGTTTGGCTCTCAAGTAATACCCACCACATTAAGCATCTAAAATTAATTTTTCCACTTAGTGAACGAACGAGACAGTTCCATGGTTATGCAAGGCGAATCCTAAGGCATAATCATATCATTGTGGAAAAATTCAAGTATCAGTCCTTGATTTTATGTAAGCTAGAGTGACCAGAACTCGTGTTAAAGATATAGTGATAGTTTCGAAACCTACTTTCTATGAATATCAGGACATCCTCGTTTTTAGATCG